GGCTCGAACTCTGAACTTCGAGATCATGATCTGAGTCAAAGTCCTGCACTTAACTGACTGAGCCACCCAGCTGCCCCTACCCCCACCCCTTTTTTTAATGTTCATTTTTGCAAGAGAGAGGGAGCGAAATTAAGAGGCAGACCCATAACCAACCGAGCCACCCAGGTGCTTCAAGATCTTACAGCCTTTATGTTAAATATATTCAAAGCATTTTTATGCTATTTAATGGAAAATTGCTTTTAAGTTTAATTTCTATTTATTTGCTGCTAGAATACAGAAATGTAATTTATTTTTCTGTATTGACCTTGTACTCTGAAATTTCAATAAACTCATTCTAGTAGTTTTTGTTGGTGAAGTTGGTTATGCTTCCTTAAAATTTTCTAAAAATAAACTTTATAGAGGCGCCTGGGTGGCTCAGTTGGTTAAGTGTCTGACTTTGGCTCAGGTCATGATCTCGTGGTTCATGAGTTCAAGCCCTGTGCTGACTGACAGCTCAGAGCCTGGAGCCTGCTTTGGATTCTGTGTCTCCTTCTCCCTCTCTCTCTCTACCCCTCCCAACCCCCCTCTCTCTCTTAAAAATAAACATTAAAACAAATTTTTTTAATAAACTTTATTTTAGAATAGTTTTAGATTCACAGAAAAATTATGAAGATAGCGTGTTGTTCCTATATACCTATACTCCGTTTCCCCTATTATTAACATCTTCTGTTAGTATGGTACATTAGTCACAATTAATGAACAATATTGCTACACTATTGTTAACCAAAGTCCATACTTTATTCAGACATCCTTGGTTTTTATGCAATACTCCTTTTCTGTTCTAGGACCTCATACTGTCTTACCGATAGTCATCGTATTTCCTTAGGCTCCTCTTAGCAGTGACAGTTTCTCATTTTCGTCTTGTTTTTGATGACCGAACAGTTTTGGCAAATACTGGTCAGATATTTTGTAGAATGTCTCGTAATTGTGGTGTGTCTGAGTTTTGGTCATGCTTACACTGGGATTATGTTTTTTGAGGGGAAGACCATGGAAATGAAGCGCTGTTTTCATCACCACATATCAAGGGTACATGCCATTGACATGAATTATCCCCACTGATGTTGACCTGGTCACATGGATGAGACCATTATTTCCTTAGGATTTTCTCTGTGAATAATCATATCTCCAAGCAGGGACATTTCTTCCTTTGCAGTCTTTATGCTTGCTTTTTTTTTTTTGTCTTTCTGTTTGTTTTGTTTTTTGTTTGTTTGTTTTTGCCTTCTTGCATTAACTGGAAAGGCCAGGATAATGTTAAATGCATGTGGTGACAGTGAACACCCTTCCCTTGTTCCTGAGCGTAGAAAGCATTCAGTGTTTCACCACTAAGAAAGTATGAGGCGTATGTTTTTTTTCAGTGCCCATTTTCAGATTGAGGTTCCCTATTATAGCTAGTTTGCTTGGAGTTTTTAACATGAATGGATGTTGAATTTTGTCAGATTCTTTTGTAGTATCCATGCAAATGATCATGTGGCTTTTCTCTTTTATACTGTTAAACCAGGAGTCAGCAAACTTTCTGTAAAGGACCAGATAATAAATATTTTAGGCTTATCATTAAAAACAACTGTAGGCAAGGGGCACCTGGGTGGCTCAGTAGGTTAAGCATCTGACCTCGGCTCTGGTTGTGATCTCGTGGTTTGTGAGTTCAAACTTTAAAAGGACAACAACTGTAAGCAGTATGTAAACAGAAGGGTGTGGCTGTTTTCCAATACATTTGTTGGCAAAAACAAGGCATAGGCTTGATTTGGCCTGCAGGCCATAGTTTCCTGTAGCTAAGATTGTTTGACCAACCTTGAGTCAGGCTTCTGAACCTTCTAGGCCCATCTGTGTACTTTGTAAAATCTAGTTTTAGCAAGAACCTTGCTAAATCAGTTTACCCAGAAACCCACCACCACCACTTACCACCAATGCCCCCAACCCCCTTTGATATCTGATCACCCTCAAAATCTGATGGGGAGTTGAGCCCAGTTATATACTGACACGTGTTCATGTTAGATTTAATCTGGCTTCATTAAACAAGTTGGGAAGGATCCCTTTCTCCTCTGTCTTCTGGGTGATAAAATTATCAACATTTCTTTATATGTTTGACAGAACTCATCAGTGACTCTTCTCAGCCTGGAGCCTTCTACGTAGGAAGGTTTTAGTAACAAAATTAGCCTATCTTTGAATGTAAGCCTATATGTTCCTTAAACGAATAGTTTAATTTTACTTGTTTTTGAACTTTATAAATCTATCATAGTGTATATACCTTGTGTTTTGCTCCTTCTCTTCCTAGAGGGGAAACTGCTTGTTCATAGAACGCTGATTTATATTTCTAGCTTAATTTGTGTGACCAGATATTTTATTAGTTAACTTTTACAGGTAAGTCTTTGAGGAAGAAAGGAAAGGGAAGCAACAGACTATTAGCACGTGAAAATACACTGTCAGTAGTTGGTATATACAGGGTTTTTTTGGTCTTGGTTTTGGTTTTTTGGTTGTTTTTAGGAATGGCTGGCTCTTTGATTTTGAAAAGGAGACAAAAAGCATCAAGCAGTTATTTCTCATTTGAAATGGCTGCTCAGCATCTTTTAAACTCTCTTCTTCCTAAGCATCGGGATTCGCCAGGTTCAAATGGTGTTTTACCAGCTGCCCTCGGTAGGTGGCACAGGCGGAAGGCCAAGACTGTCCATCAGCTACACCCCCAGAGGTCTTGGAGGAGGAAGGGAGCAACGTGACGAATTTTCTTGAGCAGTCTCTGCTGAAAAGTGTAGACTTTGATGTAAAATGTGACACAAAGCAAATGGAGTGTTGTTGTTACGCTCTTAGATAACTTTTGACTTAAAAATGTGTTTGGCCGGGGCGCCTGGGTGGCGCAGTTGGTTAAGCGTCCGACTTCAGCCAGGTCACGATCTCGCGGTCCGTGGGTTCGAGCCCCGCATCGGGCTCTGGGCTGATGGCTCAGAGCCTGGAGCCTGTTTCCGATTCTGTGTCTCCCTCTCTCTCTGCCCCTCCCCCGTTCATGCTCTGTCTCTATCTGTCCCAAAAATAAATAAACGTTGAAAAAAATATTAAAAAAAAAAAAATGTGTTTGGCAGCCCCTGGGTGGCTCCGTCAGTTAAGCATCAGACTCTTGATCGCAGGTCATGATCTCACAGTTAATGAGTTTGAGCCCCACGTTGGGTTCTGTGCTAACAGCACAGAGCCTGCTTGGCATTCTCTCTGTCTCCCTCTCTTTCTGCCTTTCCCCTGCTCTCTCTCTCTCTCTCTCTCTCTCTCTCTCTCAATAAATAAACTAAAAAAAATGTATTGACCTGTGTAGTAAGCAATATGACCTCAGTCAAAGGGAAGTTTGGCCTTTGTCATGGCTCTTGGGATGTAACCTTTAAACACTTAAACTTTCCCAAGTGATAGGAAGGTCTTTGTTATTCATGGAGGTCCCTCAGGTCACATCCAGCCATCCTGGTTGGGGGGCTGGAGGCTGACTTCAGCCGGGTGGGCAATAGTTCCGGTGGGCAATAGTTCGGTCACTCAGGCCAGCATGACAAAGCCTTCATCAAAGCCTGCAGAGCTTCCTTGGCTGGCAGGACTCTGTGCGTATTGTCCCACATCCCTGCTGGGAGGGTGATGCTTCCTGAGGGCCACGGGAGCTTCCTGTTTGGAACTCTCCTGGACCCTGCCCTACGCACCTCTTCCTTTGGCTGGCTCTAATTTGTATCCTTCCCTGTAATAAATGCAACCGTGAGTATAATTGCTTTCAGTGAGTGCTGAGTCTTTTTTGCAAATTAGTGGATGTGAGGGTGGTTTGGGGAACCCTCTGAACTTGGAGAGGTCAGGAGTCCTTGGGCAGAATTTGCTGTCCAGACCAAGCTTGTGGCTTAACCTAGCAGTCTGGCTAACTCCAGTGGTACCACAAGAAGTGACTGGCCTGGCCATCCGTTCCTGCAAGCCATCTTCCTTTTCTCCCTCCCTGTGTTTTACTTCTTCCCTTTCTCTTTGTCATTCCTTTAAATTTCGATACTAATTTCAGTTACCCTGTCAGTAACACCCCTGAGCCTTAGATCACCTGAACAGTGACACTCGTGGGTGGAAAGATCTCTGATTCAGAGAGTCCACAGTGAATGTCTGCACATGGCCATTGCAGTGCCTGAAAAAAACCAAATACGTCTTTAGATATTTATGGTAAAAAAAATTCATTCTGCAAGGAGTCTTAAAAATGGGAGAATCTCATTTGTAAAAATGATACATGTAAAGGAAAAGCCTGTATTTGTTAAGCTGTGGTTTAGTAGGAGACCTCTGTGGATGTGTGATCTCAGAAATTTAAAATATGAGTTTCGCTTATAAAACCCACTCCCAGGGGCACTTGGATGGCTCAGTTGGTTGGGCATCCGAGTCTTGACTTCAGGTCAGGTCATGATCTCACAGTTCTTAGATGTGGGTCTGAGCCCCACATCAGGCTCCACGCTGAATGTGGGAGCCTGCTTGGGATTTCTCTCTCTGTCTCTCTCTGGCCCTCCTCTGCTTGCTCTCTCTCTAAAATTAAAAAAAAAAAAAAATTTTTTTTTAATTAATGAAAAACAAACAAAAACCTCACCTCCGGTTTGGATCCTTGCTGTGAGATAAAAAATTTCTAAATTGCTATTTTTGTAAGTTTATTTATTTATTTTGAGAGAGAGAGAGAGAATGTCCTGTGCAAATGGGGGAGAGGCAGACAGAGGGAGAGACGGAGAACCCCAAGCAAGCTCCGCACTGTCAGCTCACAGAGGCTCACAGAGGCTCACAGAGCCTGACGATGCAAGGCTCCGGGCCCACAAACCGTAAGCCTGACGATGCAGGGCTCCAGGCCCACAAACCGTAAGATCATGACCTGAGCCAAAATCAAGAGTCAGAGGCTTCAATGACTAAACCACCCAGGTGTCCCTCTAAATCGCTATTTGATGGGAAGGGGAAAAAAATACCCGCACAACATCTTTGTTCATTTATTTGCCGGTTACAGACGATTCGTGAAATGAGTGACTCTGAGGATGATGATGTCCCCCGGCTATCTTCCCACGCCTTAGCAGCCCTCCAGGAATTTTATTCTGAGCAGAAGCAACAAAGCGACCCAGGCGGGGATGATAAATATAATATTGGAATAATAGAAGAGAACTGGGTAAGTGCATTCCACATGTCTCAGGAAATGTGGATGAACTGCTTGCTGATTCTGCACCTGTCCATCCGGTCCGGTGTTTGTCTGCGTCCTGCCTCACACCCTCGTCTGCCTCACCTGCCCCTCAGGAGCTGATGTCCTGTGTGCGCTGCTAAGACAGAAAGCAGTCCCCAAACATTGAAGACTGTTTAATTTTTTTTTTTTTTAATGTTTATTTTTGACAGAGAGAGAGAGACAGAGCATGAATGGGGGAGGGGCAGAGAGAGAGAGGGAGACACAGACTCCGAAGCAGGCTCCAGGCTCTGAGCTGTCAGCACAGAGCCCGACGCGGGGCTCGAACTCCCGGACCGTGAGATCATGACCTGAGCCGAAGTCGGACGCTAAACTGACTGAGCCACCCAGGCGCCCCCATTTAAGACTGTTTAAATGCGGATTTTCCTGGTTCTGACGGTCAGGCTGGTTGGTGGTCAGACAAGGGGACTTTTCAGACAGGGGGACAACATATCACTTGTGACCAACACAAACTTGTGCTTCCTTCTGTGCACAGACACTTGCGGTTGGTTCTTCTGGTGCCCATTATCCTTGTGGAGGGGGTAAAATATAATACTGCGGTAAATGGGGTAACTAATTTAAACGTGCAATGAAAAAAGATGAAAGGGAGTTCTGAAAAAGGTAATAATAGGTTCTGGTGCATAGTATGTATTTAAATTATATTTTTATGGTATAAGTAAAAATGGGAATTAAAAATGGGAATTAATTAAATGAGTGGAGGGAAACTAACCTAAGCTAGAACCTAGAAGTGTAAGCTTTTGAAGGAGACCGTTTGAAGGAGATACACGAAGCTTGGGCTTTTTGTCTGTGCCTGCCCCTCAGTAGTGGGTTTGTCTCTGTCCATCACTTCCCACCTAGAAGGAATCTCTCACACTCTTTTTTTTTTTTTTTTTTAACATCCTTTTACGTTTTGTGTCGAGTTTGGATCGCTTAAGTTGTATTAAATTCTCCTATTTACCATCTGTTTGAAACTGACTCAATAAAAATGTTTCTTTACATTTACACTAAATTTTCCACCTACACAAAAGCCTCTTTCTAACAATTCCCCTTCTTTACATGCTTTTGCCTTGTAGCTTGATGCTTTCGTAGGTGGTGAGTATCAGAAACCTGAAGGACCGCATTATTCTTTCTCCCTCTCCCTCTGCTTAATGTTTTAAGTATTATGTGCTTTTTTTTCGGATTCTAAAAGTAATCCATGGTTGTTGTAGAAAAATGTAAAAACATGAACACAAAAATAAGTTATTCCTAATCCCACTACTTAGAATTAAGTATTTTTATAATTTTGATACTTTGTTTTGTCTTGTTTTGTTTTGTGTATAAAATTGAGGAAATCTCATAGGAAGCAAAAAGAGAAAGAGAGAATGATGCAAGTGCTGGAAAGAAAACATTTTGTACAACTAGAGGATGAATCCAGGAGGCTCAGTATTTAACTAATTGGATGGAATTCTAGAAAACTAGAACAGAAAATAAAGGGGAGAGGAAATCTTCAAAGGGGAACATTAGAAAACTTCCCAGACCTGAAGATTCTCACGAAGATGCATGGTTACAGGACTCTGAAAATTCTGTATGCAGGTGACAAGATCTTAGAACCTTCCAGAGGAAAAGCAGGTCACCTACAAAGTCTCAGGATGAGTCACACCACACTTCTCAGTAGCTTTGTTAGAAACTAGAAAAAAGTGGGGCAGTGTCTTCGGTATTGGGAGTAGAATTTAGTTCAGCCCAGATTTCAGCTTACTCAAATGTGAAGGATAAAATAAAAACATGTTAGATACAGAAAATCTCATGGTATTGGCCTCTGGGACACTGCTTCTCTGAAGCTGCCAGAGTATGTTGGAAGATTTAGAGGTCGGCTCAGAGAAACAAGCAAATGATACATTTATTAAGTCTAGGAAGAATAAAAGGTTCCATCCTAGAAGGAAATGTGTCATTTGGCCCCACAATGAACACTGGCAATGATTTTAACCGGAAACAGGTTACAACCATATGGGGAGCATGAGGGACAGAGAAGAGTGTGCATGACAGAGCAATATCCTCATCTGTCATAATATAATACATTGTATAAAGTGGAAAAATCAAGAGATAGCATTTAGGGGTGCCTCGCTGGCTCAGTTGGGAAAGTGTGCAACTCTCAGTCTTGGGGTCGTGAGTTCATGCCCCACATTGGGCGTAGAGATCACTCAAAAAATAAACTTTTAAAAAGAGCATTTAAAGCATAATATTTGGAAATATGGAGACAGATGATCAAAGGAAGAGTTGAAAGGTGCTTCTGAGGAGTGGAACTCACTGGTGGGGAGACGTGGGGCAGGGACTGTTGTTTTTCTTTGTAAGCCTAGTAGTGCATTTGACTTTGAAAGCCATGTTTATGCAACACATTGATTAAAAGGAAGATTTTTATTTTTTGGAAGGGTATGAGGAGAGCCAAAACATACAACTGTGCCCTGACAAGGCTGGAGTGAGGGAGAAGGGCAGCTTGGTAGCCAACTGTCGAAAACTCTACCCAGATCAAGTGAAGTAGAACACCACCACCCCCCACCCCCACACCATGTACACATGTGTCCTGGGGCTTTCCTCCAGCTTCCTAAGCAAAGAGGGCCGGGGCTTGGCATTTTCCTGCAGCTGAGAATGTTTAGACGTGAATTCATATTCACATATATCCAAATGAATATGTACATTCTGTCTTCAGAAACATGTATCTGCCTTGGTGTTTTCTAGGTAAACAGTCACACAATGTGCAAATGTTAGCAGTTTTACTTCTTTTTTGACTGTCACTCGCTTATTTCCTCTCTTGCATTAATGCAATGGCTGGATCTTGCAGTAGAATGTTGAATGAGAATATTGAAAGCAGACATTCTTGCCTTCTTTCTTATCTTATGGGGAAAAAATAGATCTTTCATTTTTGTAAGGCTGTTGGTTTTTTCTCGATGCCTTGTATCAGTTTAAAGAAGTTCCTTACTATTCCTGCTTTTCTAAGAGGTTTTTTTTTTTAATCATGAAGTGGTGTTGAACTTTGTTAAATGTTTTTTTTTTGCACTTGTTGAAATGATCATATGTTTTGGAAATGTTTTTAAAGCTGGATTTAAGAGCCATCAGCGGACACTGGCCGCACACACTTGCCTCCTCCCACCACTGGCTCCTGGCACGGCCATTCCAGAGGGAGGCCTGCTGGAGAAATGGGCCTATTCCATTGCAGGAGAATCCACTTTTCCCCTTTAAAATTTAATTTAGAAACGTGAGTGGATGATTAAGGATCACTAAAAAGTTGAAAGAAAATCGGTAACCAGCGTGAAGAGAAGGAGCAAGATGACAGCTTACCCCTAAGGGAAAAGACAAGTAACTCGGGAAGTCCTCATAAGGTAAAGAGAGGAGGCGGTGGAAAAGGACCACGGACTGAGTTTCGCTCCTCTCATCCCTGTGGTGGTACTTCACACGTTCTTCCATCCTCTATTTGTGGTTCTGCTAGCGGGTAGTTGATCCTAGAGGCTTAATCAGACTCAGGTTCAGTTTTTGGGGGCAAGAGTCACACAAAGGCGGGAGTATGTTCTTCCACCAGCAGAAACGTTGACCGTTGTCTCCTTCTGTGGTGTCAGCAGCCGCTGGTGCTCAATGCCTAGATTCCAGTAATTAGGGCCTTCTGTTACTTTAAAATAATTCCAAAGGATAGTTAGTTTTAAAAAGAAAAAAACACTTGAAATGTATGCACAGTGGAGTGGTAGACGTACATTAAAAGGATGGAATGTATGGCAGTTGTCAACTGATTTCAGGTCATTGCTCTGTTACAGCAGTTGAGCCAGTTTTGGTACAGCCAGGAGACCGCTTTGCGACTTGCCAAGGAAGCCATTGCAGCCGCGGGAGAATGTGGCAGGTAAAGTCCGGATTTTGTTTCTCTTTTGTCTTATCTGAATTGATACTGAATACGTCCTTCCAAAATGAGCAATGGTTTATAAGAAGTGGGAGCCGTAGCTGTAGTCCATGGTTTGCAGGACATGATAAATTGAGAACTGCTCCAGTGCTGAAAACTCAGTTCCTAAACAGGAATACAGAAATCCGTTCATTGTAAGATGTCCTACCTCTTCTTTATTTTAACATTTTCTAATCTGTTTCTTACCTTTATACTCCTAAAGTTTGTTTTCCTTTTAAAAAGAAAAAAAATTGTTTTTTTAATGTTTATTTATTTTTGAGAGAGTGAGCGAGAGCATGCGCTCACGCGAGCTGGGGAGGGGCAGGAAGAGAGAGGGAGACAGAGGATCCAAATCAGGCTCCACGCTGTCAGCGCGCAGAGCCCGATGACATGGGGCTCGGACTCACCAACTGTAAGATCATGACCTGAGCTGCAGTCGGTCACTTACCCAACTGAGCCACCCCGGTACCCCTAAAAGAAAAAAAATCTTAATGTTTGACTTCTGAAGTTTTAAAAATACAGGTTTTCTTTTTTGTCACTTCAGTTTTTATCAAAATTTTCACATGCATATAATTAACGTCAAATGGTCCTACCAGGCTTGTTCAGAAACCATATCCATGTTGCTCATTTGCCCCTTGTGCACTCCCCTCCCCTTTCCTGCTCCCTTTCAGGGACGCTTTTGGCATTTACAACCATATTTCTAAATATATGTTTATACTGGCACTTCTTGACCTGTCTGTCGCTTGTAGACGTTATTTCTTTGTCGTAGACTCTAAGCCTAAAGTACTCTCTTGTCCAGCGAGAGAGCGGATGCAGGATTAAAAGCGAGAGATGACTGGGGCGCCTGGGTGGCGCAGTCGGTTAAGCGTCCGACTTCAGCCAGGTCACGATCTCGCGGTCCGTGAGTTCGAGCCCCGCGTCGGGCTCTGGGCTGATGGCTCGGAGCCTGGAGCCTGTTTCCGATTCTGTGTCTCCCTCTCTCTCTGCCCCTCCCCCGTTCATGCTCTGTCTCTCTCTGTCCCAAAAATAAATAAACGTTGGAAAAAAAAAAAAAAAAGCGAGAGATGACTATTGTCCGGGAAAGGACAAGAGCCCTGAATAAGGGTCCTCGCTCCGTTTTTATTAGGATCAGAAGGCTTACAAACATGGTGGTGGACGTGCTCAGAGACAATGAATCTGTGAACATTAACTCATGGACGCGAGGGAAAGGGGGTCTTGAAGATATTCGGGTTTAGGGGTTTGGGTTAATACAAAACAAAATCCTGGGGGCCGGCCAGCGGAAGGTTGTTTACAGCGGACATGAGGCCCCACCTCTGTTTATTTCAGCTAGCCTAGGGGCTGAGACAGGTAGAGCAAGTAACCTCAGGGTTAACAAGGCACCTTTCTTTTGTGAATCAGCTCCTCACCTGCAGCCTGCAGCCTAGCGGTCTAGAGCCCTATTTACCTGTTTACCTAACTTGGTCCTTCCTTCCTGTGAAAGCAGCTTTCTGCTGTAGTACTAAATTGGGGGGCACTTTCGCCCTGAATACCTAATCTTGCTTACCTCATATACCTTGGTATTGGGGGCCTTTGCCCCCCTCTCTGTTCTGGGGGCCTTTGCCCCCCCTCACTTTATTCTGGGGGCCTTAGCCCCTCTTCTCTATCCTTATTCACCTAATCTTGTTTACCCAAACTTGGGTGTGAACATCCTACGGCTTTGTAATTCTCTATGCCTTGTTAACGCATTGGTGCAAGCCCAGGGAAATTTCTAAGCTTACTCCCCACATTTCTTGACTTCTCACTATGGAGCGTGAGGATTTAGCTCTCTCTCATACTCCACAACTGCCACAAGTAGGCATGCTTTTTGTTCACACTCCTAATAGATTTATCCTCATCTTGGTTAGAACAGGGTTTATATTATGTCAGCATAAATGTTCTTCACAGTTGAACCTTATTCTTTTCCTTTTCTGTATAATTTTTCATTTTTCTGAAGAAAATAATTCTATTTTGTATGTATTTCTGTGTCCGTATCATAAATTAACTTTAAGACGCTCCACGAATCTCCTATCAGTAAATTCAGATGTGTTCCAACTCTGTGAAGGAAGTTACTCCCAAGGCTTTGCAAGCTGCTCTTATCTGGACTCGTTGATGTCTGGCTTTGCTACAGGTCTTACTTACCTTGGTGTTCCCATCATGCGTCAGAGCCTTTTGCCTCTCTCTTGTTCTGGGTTCCTGTTTCCTGTACCCTAGTTCTTAGTTTACAGCCTTACTTTGGTTGGTACATCCTTCAATAGCTTCCACAGAAAAGGTACATGGGAGGGAAGTGGTTAAACCTTTCGTGTCTACAAATACTTTTATTCTATCCTTCCCCTTGGTTGTGATAGTTTTGTTGGGTATCTCTTCCAGGTTTTGAGGGCATTGCTTCATTGCCTCCAGGTTCCCATAGGTGCTGTTGAGAAACCAACACCATTCTGATTTCTTACAGGAAAACCTGTGTTTTCCCATCCCTGCCCACTACAAGCTTAGGGTTTTCTCTTAATCCCAGGATTCATTGGGTCTTGCTGTGGTGCTCTCATCTGTACTGCTTGGAGAACCTTTCATTCTTTTAACTCAGGTCCTTCAGTTTGGGGAAAGTTTTCTGTCACAGTCGCAGAGGGGCAGACACCTAGAGACTTGGGGTAGGGAAGAGAATCCCGGGAACGAGCTTCTTAAAGAGACCTTTCAATGAACCCTCCTATTTCTAGCCCCACCTTCACCCCCACTTCTTGAGTGACCTGGTCCTGCAGCTTCCGGAGCCTCTGAGGGCCCTTGGACGTAAACCAGGTTGCTTCTCAGCTTACCTATGACACCTAGTTTGGGATTTGGCTTTTTTGGGTCCACTGTGCCAAATACCAGCTATCCCTTTGCTTTTCTGCTTTTTTTTTTTTTTAAGTTTATTTCTTTATTTTGAGAGGGAGAGCGAGCAGGGGAGGGGCAGAGAGAGAGAATCCGACAGACTCGGCAGTGGCAGCCCAGAGCACAGCGCAGGGCTCGAACTCAGGAGCCACGAGATCACGACGGCAGCCGAAGTCTGACGCTTAACCTACTGAGTCACCTGCTTTTCTGCCTCTCTTAAGGGGTTTTTGTTTTGCTGGCTGGTTGGTTTGTGTGGGGTTTTGGTTTTTGTTTGTTTGTTTTGGTCTCCTCTCGAATTCTCTTTGCTGTTGGCGGTTTATGCTTAAACAACAAAACAAAAGAATTTTACTCATGTTTTATTTAGTAGGTTTTCATGAGGGAGCAAATGTAAATGAATGTGCGATGTCTGCATCTTCAACTGGAAGTCCTAAATTTTGGGGGTTTTTTTGTTTCTGCTGCTCTCTTTCTTTTAACATTGTATATAGATGCTTATTGGGTTCTTCTTAATGACAGTATTTACACATATTTTCTTTTTTTCCATTAATAAAGGGCTTTGGAAGAAATTTATTTTTTTCTGAAAAGCATCTTCAGTATTTTTTCGAGCTCTGTCGTAATATTCAAAATGAATAGTAATAGTAGCATTTATTGAGCCCTTACTGTGCGCCCTCTCCACTGTTTGCGTGCTCTCGGGGGACGTCCCACTTAAGCCTCCATCATACTCCCCATCGTAAAGAGAGACTCCAGGGCTCCGGTCGCATCCCCTGCGGAAGGTGACCTGTTGCTGCATGATAAAGGTCACTGCCTCCCCCAAGGTCATCGCCATCCCGCTCTCAGTCCCTGTTGCACCTCAGACCACTTTCCTTTTGCCCCAAGTACGTGCTTTGGAATTGCGTGCAGGTCTGTGGTGACAGACTCTCGGACTTTGTTTGTCTGAAACTATCTGTAGTTCACCCTCTTTCTCAGAAGATATTTGCCTGGGTCGTGGCCTGTTATCTTTGAGCACAGTGAGGACATCGTCCCACGTCCTCTGCCTATCTCCTCACCAGAGCTCTGGCAGCACCTGGACTGGGGGCCCCGCTGGCCCTTGTGTCCCTGGGCTGGGACACGCGTGTTTCCCATAGAAGCGTGTGTATCATCGCCAGAGTGTATCACACGCTTCAGTGCCCTGGGGCTGAGAAGCCTTTTTAGCCAGGCACGGGGACCCACCCGGTCCGTGGAACATGGTTTCTGTTCAGAGATGCATCTGCTAGTTTTAAAGTAGCTTGTCCGTACTGCGATTGAATTTTAAGGTATCTTTGCAGAAAACTGGAGCTCTTGAGGCATCATTTGGGATTTTTCTTCCTAGATTATGAATATTACAAAGTAACATCAGGGGCTCCTGGGCGGCTCAGTTGGTTGAACATCTGACTTCGGCTCAGGTCATGATCTCGCAGTTCATGAGTTTGAGCCCCACATCGGGCTCTGTGCTGTCAGTGTGGAACCTGCTTTGGATCCTCTGTCCCCCTCTCTCTCTGCACTTGCCCTGCTCACTTTCTCTCTCTCTCTCTCAAAAATGAATACTTAAAAAAAATAAAATTTTTTAAAAAAGTAACTTCAAAAGAATTAATTTGAGACTAAAAGTATTTGAAATAAATGTTGAAATGAGGACCAACATGAAAATAATAAGCAAATTTAAGCCTTGGGCTTTCTAACTTTCTTGCTAATGTGTTCCTAATGTTTTACATTTTTTACTAGAAAAGCACATTTATTTATCCTTTCATACCTTATGAGTTGCAGGATTTTTAAACACCGTATTCCTTAAAAGCGAAACAGTATAGTTTTCTCTTGAAATTTACTGCCTTTACATTAGCTTGCACTGTGATTCCCTTTGAAGAGCTGAACACAGGACCTATTTTTTTTAGTGAAGCCGTTGTTATTTAATACCAGTAGCTCTCCATTAAAGATCTTCCATGAATTTGTTCCTTTTGTTTTCTAGAATAGCCTGTGTGAGTGCCCCCAGTGTTTACCAGAAACTGAGAGAGCTACACAGAGAAGACTTTTCTATATACATCTTTGAATATGACAAAAGATTTGCTATATACGGAGAGGAGTTTATCTTCTATGATTACAATAATCCGTTGGATTTACCTGAAAAAATTGCTGCACACAGTTTTGACATCGTAATAGCAGATCCCCCCTATCTCTCCGAGGAATGTCTCCGGAAAACGTCAGAAACCATCAAGTATCTGACTCAGGGCAAGATTCTGCTGTGCACAGGTAGGTGCCGGATTGCAGGACTCACGAATGTTGACCAGGAGATATTCCAGTCTTAGGTTCCAGGAGCTGGAAGCGATCTTAGAACTCAAATCCTGAATCCACCACTCACTGTGTGACCTCAAGCAAGTTACATAACCAGTCTCTCTGTGCCAGGTTTCCTTATCTGTAAACCGGGACTGGTAACACTACCCTCCTTTCAGCATTATTGGAATTAAGTGACATGATACACACAGGGTGTGGTCTGGCACATGGTGAGTGTGCTCTGAGTGTTATTTTTACTCGCCCTCATCAGGAATAGTAGCAGTGTTTGATCCAGCCTTACATGTGATGAGAGAAATGTGGAATCGATAACGTTAAGCTGAATTGCCCAAGGTTACAGAGCTAGACAGTAGATTAAATTGATCTCACCAGCAGAAGAGTTTTCTTACTAGGGAGAGTGGCGTTCTTTCTTAAGGTGGACGTGCGGAGCGTTGGCGGAGAACTACAACGTTACCTCGTGGTCTGTCTCCTTGGGGCGGCCGGCGTCCAGGGCCCCTCAGGCTGGGCCGAGCCGGGAGCAGAGCTGCAGGGGGTCTCTTGTCCCTGAAGCTGGAGAGTTGTCACGAAGGTGACTCTGGCTGTCACAAGTAATATTTACCTAAGGGTTATCAATTCAACGGTTGTTTGCTAGCCCTCTGTGCCAGCTGCCAGGCGGGGGCCCCGGCTTCGTGGAGCCTACCTTTTAGTTTTAGAAGATAGGCTAAAAAACGTAACCGAACAGATGGGAGAGGTGATGACCAATTCTGAGAATGTAGTGAAAGAATCAGAAGGGCCCGGCAGGCACTGAGAACCATGAGGGGTGTCCTTCAGGCCGGGCAGGCAGGGGTTCTTGGAGGAGTAGCACTCCAGGGGAGACCTCGAGGGGTGGCCCCCAGGGCCTGTGGCCCCCTGGTTCTTAGAGGGATGCGGGGAGCCCTGCCCCATCGCGTGTGCAGGTAGCACGGCTGGAGTGGGGGCAGGGGGCGAGAGGGTCCCTTACAGGTGACAGCTGCCGTTGTTGGGACTTTCATTGAAAGCTGTCGGCCCCCAACTGATGGGACCCAGTTTGCCTCAAGAAGTGCACTTTCACTCTGCGCCGGAAAGGATTTAGGGCACAGGTGGAAGCAGGCCCTATGAGGGCGTGTCCAGCTGAGACAGGCGTGGACAAGGTGTGGCAGTAAAAAGGCGGGCGGGGGTGGGGCGAGGTGAAGGCAGAAGAGCCCGCTATGCTCGGATGTGGAGGGAAGGGGAGAATCTGGGGCGAACCCTGGGTCTCCTGCCTGTGTGAGCTGCAGAAGCACTTTCTGCAGCGGGGTGTCTCGGGAGAGGTGCTCAGAGACACCCAGGGGCTGTGTCCACAGCGGTGGCCGTGGGCCAGGCCGTGGGTGGGACGTGGGGACCAGTCAGCCAGAAGCTGGTGTGAATGAGTGCCGATGAGTTTGCAAGATTAGATGTGAATGAGAGTGGGGTTCTTGACTCAAAGTTGGAAAACACTAGTTCCTAGTAATTATTTTTACTCTCCTTATGTTACTTTGTGGAATGTGCCTTTATTTCTAAATTTCTAAGTGTCTCAGTTTTGTAGAGGTAGGAAAACTATTTTTTAAATTAAAAAGGAGGGGCGCCTGGGTGGCTCCGTCGGTTAAGCGACCAACTCTTGATTTCGGCTCAGGTCATGATCTCATGGTCGTGGGATCGAGCCCGGAGTCAGGCTCCGTGCCGAGCTGAGTGTGGAGACTGGGATTCTCTCTTTCCATCTCTCTCTGCCCCTCCCCCACTGGTGCATGCACACGCTCTGTCTCAAAAGAAACTTAAAAAACTTAAAGCAAAAAAAAATGTTAATTAAAAAGGAAAAAAGTAGGTAATTTGCAAATTTGTTGAAGAAAGTGAAAAGGGATATAAAGAATTGACCTTCCCCCATATTTATTGAGTGATATGATCATCTCATTACCTCGCGTATTCTAGTCTAGAACCCCTCACCACTCGTGGTGGCACAGTGGTTGGTATTTCAGGCTTCGAGTTCACTGGGTCTGTTCCCTTCAGGTGCCGTCATGGAAGAAGAGGCAGCGAAACTTCTTGGCGTGAAGATGTGCAAATTTATTCCAAAACACACCCGGACCTTGGGAAATGAGTTTCGCTGTTATGTGAATTATGATTCTGGACTAGACCGTGAAATCTCAGTGTAGATAGTAACATAACACAGTAAAGGATCCTATGTGACGTTTCTCTCTCACTATTTCCTTGGTAGATTGAAAAGCTATAACCTCCTCCTGTCCCCTAGAATGGGGCTGGCTCTGGCCTGATTTCCAAAATAAAGAATACAGCATCTCATCATGACTTCCTTGTTGCCAGGGCTCGGGATGCCTTTGCCAACTTGAGTCTGTGGATTTGTCCTGGGAAGAAATCTTAGAACCTGTCTAAAATCCGCTCTCCTCACCTAAGTACAGGTTAAAGCCAAAGTACAGACAGCTTAGTGGCTTGGCCAAGGCCTGGATTAGGACCCAGGCCTCTGCCTCAGGCCATCTGCCCCCCTTAACAGGCCCATTCTGGCTCTACCCAATGGGCTGCTGATTCTTCTCGGCAGCTTTCCTGGGGCATCGCAGGACTTGTGAAGGGGACCGTCATCTGATCTGCCCCTGAAGGAGATACCACTTACCTCCGTGAAAGGAGGTGATAATTCTTGGAAGGAGTATTAATTCATAATCCTCGGAACTAGAGCCTTCTGGATTTTTCCTTCTTGTCCCTATTTATGGAGGGATGACAGGAGCACAGCCCGGGTGCCGCACGCTCAGCACCCCCCCCTCCCCCGCACCCTCAGCTAAAGCCACGTCAGCTGCTCCGAGCTGCCTGAGAAAGTGCCATCAGCAAACCAAACACTACAGCAAAAAGGAGGTGAGAAGTCTGCTGGCCTCTGTTGTGCTGCAGAAACTGTTCATCACGCATCCGCATCACAGAACATGCCTCTTCAGCTACCCAAAGGAATGATTTGCTGATGCCTGCAATTGGATGGATTTCAAGGGCCTTGTGCTGCGTGAAGAAATCCAGTCCCCAGAGGTTACCTCCTGTGTTTCCATTTATGTAACAACATTCTTGAATGGAGAGCAGATTGGTGGTCGGCAGAGGTTACGATGGGGGTAGGGGGTGGGTGTGGCCATAAAAGGGAGACCTTCATGGAACTGGTCTGCATCTTGACTGTGCAGCGGTGAAACAAAACTCCGCAGACGGTGTCACGCAGAACACACGTGCACACGCACGCGTACCACTGGTGAGCTCTGAGTCAGGTGTGTGGGCGGTACGGATGCCCATTCCCTGGCTGTGGTCCTGCGCTTATGTAAGATGTTACCACTGCGGAGAACTGGGGAAAGGACACACAAGACCTCTCTGTAGTAATTCTGCAATTTCCTGTGAAGTCAGAATCATTTGCAAATAAAAACTTAAAAAATAACCCCTCTGGGAAAGGAATAACACTTCCCACCTCACGTGACTCGCTTTGCTATCGAAACGTGAAAGGCAGCAAAATGTGTCGCTGGCCGGCAGAGCTTTATGTTCTCTCTGACCTGGTTTCTGGCAGTTTCCCCACCGAAGCGCGCTGGCCCCAGGTCCTCGGTGGGGCGGTGGACCCGCAGTGCACGTGGAGGGGGAGCGGGAAATGTTGGCTCTTGAAAATCGGCGAAGGGGGGATGGCCGCTCCCCACAGGAAACCCTGCCTGTCCCAGAGAGCCTCGTGTGTGTGCCCAGGAAACGCACAGCGGCCTGGGGGGGGGGAGGCGCTTGCCTCCGCCTGTTAACTTTTCAGTCCTCTATTGTTCTACTTTGGGATAAGTTTTCATTTACTTAAAAAAAATCACTTGGTATTTTTATGAGACATTTATATTTTTATCGGTGTATCGGCACCTGGCACATGTGAAGGGTTCAATACATGTTCTTTAGAAAATAACCCCCACCTTATTATTTCCTCATGAGTCAGTTTAGTAAAAATTACCTAGGCCACCGACAAATAAATGTTAGTAACAAATCATGTATACAAACGTAATGTGTAACTTAGGAATTGGGGGCACACAGCAGCCTAGAAATACAGAATTTTAGCTTTCCTAGAAGTCTAGCCTTTAGATGACGAAGAGAAACCTTATTCTTTCACAGAGGGTGGGGGAGGGAAGGGACAAGGCTCAGCGCATTAAGCCTTCAATCACGTTGAATAACAGGCGGCCAACGCGTGTTTTATTGCTGCCGACCCCTTGCAGGATTTCAATTTTAGGAAACCTGTGTTCACACGTGGCCGCTTCTGGATTTCATCAGAGGCCGGCGTCTCTACCTCTGGAGTCTTGGGAAACACGAGGCGGGGCTGCCGTGCCCCTGGCCTCTGGCTGGCACACACGGGGCACAGGAGCAGTGGGGTGGGAGGAAGGGGTGCCCATGCTGCCCGGAGGCCTGGAAGTAAGCTTCCTGAATTCTTGGGAGCACCCTCGCCTCTCACACCCGACCAAAGCACTTCAAAAGCTGAAAAGGACATGTTTGTAAAGTCCTTTGCTAATTCAGAGATTTGCACCGAGCCACGAAGTAACCATAGTAGGAGGGGAAAGAGGGAGGATGATAGTATCCGGTCTGCTGACCGCCGTGAAGTCCGTACAGCTACTCGGCTGCGTGTTTGGGGGCGATGGGAACGCGGACAGCTGGAACGAACGAAACGCCGGAGTCGCTTTTGAAGCCCCGTTTCAGACGGACACTTCATGCTCTTCCCTTTCTCAGAGCAGGAACTGGGGGCCAAGAATGACCCTTCTCTCCCCTTCGCCTTTGCTACAAGACATGCTGTAAACTGAGAAGTTTTTGGGTCATTGGCCCCTGCAAGCCGAGCTGCTGGCATTTGTGATGGGTGTTGATCGCTATTCCCAAATGGTTCGGTTTTTCTAAAACAAGCATACGGCGGAGATACTGTCGGTTGGTTGGAAAAAATCTTCAGGAACCAGCACGGTGTGTCCATTCCAAGGGTGGCCACGGAGCTCTTCAGCGACAGACAGAATCCCTTGACGGAACGTAGTCACCGTGGCACATTTGGAGAGGAGGGAAGAAGCTATGAAAGTCTCACGGGTAGAGCCCGGGACCATGAAGTCCCACATCCACCCAAGGCCCGCTGTGAACTGTGGGGAACAATAATCAGTGTCCTGGAGACCCGCAGGGGGAGGGGGAAGCTGCTCAGCTGAGGCCAGGGAATTTCCCTATTTGATAAAACAGTAATGACCTCTCTCCGCTCCAAGGAAAAGAAGGAAAAAACCCTTTAGTTCTACCAAGAACAAAATTCTGTCCCAATAAACTCTTATTACTCACTGAAATATCTCCCCATCTCCCATCACCCCCCTCTTACTCCAACATATTTTTTTTTTCCAAATTTTTAATTCCCATTAGGTAACATTTCTATCTGGTCGAACATATTCTATCTGGTCGCTGCTGCCTAGTGATAGATTTTGTAAACTTTTATACAGAAAGTCATTTTTTAAAATGTTTATTTTTGAGAGAGACAGAGCATGAGCGAGGGAGGAGCAGAGAGAGAGGGAGACAGGGAATCCGAAGCAGGCTCCAAGGCTCCGAGCTGTCAGCACAGAGCCCGACACGGGGCTTGAACTCATGAAGTGCGAGATCATGACCTGACCTGAAGTCAGACGCCTAACCAACTGAGCCACCCAGGAGCCTCACAAAAAGTCATTTTAATGATACATACTTGCTAAAGCAATAGGCATAACCTGGAGAAAGAACAGCTTGGTATTTTTTTAAAACATGGTCAAATCTTTTTTTTAATGTATTTACTTTGAGAGAGAGTGTGTGTGCATATGCACGTGCATGGGGGAGGGGCAGAGAGAGAGAGAGAGAGAGAGAGAGAATCTCAAGCAGGCTCCACGCTCAGTGCCCAGCCCAATGTAGGGCTCAATCTCACGACCGTTAGATGGTGACCTCAGCCGAAATCAAGAGTCGGATGCTCAACCATCTGAGCCACCCAAGCTCCCCAACCTGATACTTGTTTTTAATGTCACTTGTAAATCATTGAGGCCAATATGTTCTAATACCTCCTGTGTGCCAGGCACCATACCAGGTGCTTTACAAATGGTGTTCCGTCCTCACAGTGACCAAGGAGGCGGCACCACCCATTATCAGTGAGAAAAATGGGGCTTAGATTCACCCGGCAGCACTTCCTGTGAGGAGTGGCCCACAAACACCCAGCTGCTCGGAGAGCCAGTGCCGGTTATATTTTCGCTAGGGGTGGAGACTGCACCTGGCTTACAGGTATCTCCCAGGGGCTCAGTACCTGGAACACGGCAAGTGCTCGAGAAATATTAAGTGTATGAATATTCCATTCAGAGAAAAAATACAAAGAAAGGTTGCTTTCCTGGTTCTATAGAATGGAAAGCTAATTTCTTCCACTGGGAATGTGCTACCTTTTCACAAGCTAAGTTTAGGTAAGCTAATAATACAATAAAATCATGATCTTTTCTCCAAATGTTTATTCTCCTCTGATGTTTGCACTATTTATATTTGAGAGTAACTGGAAAATGTTACCCAGCAGTGGCAGTGACTGAACAATTACCCAAACCAGTGGTTTAAAAAGCACTTTTTAACTTACGAATTTGATGTTGTTGAGCTAGCAATGAAAGTTTGCTCCAAACCTTCCGCTTTCTGGACAAGAACGTACTCCAGATATACTACCACTAGGGATACCTTTTTTTTTCCACATTCACCACCGCTTCAGAGGTGGAACGGAGAAGAAATTCCCAGACGGTCTAGAACTGTCCACAGCTAGCACTTTAAATTTTGAATTTCTGAATTTTTGGAAAATCTGGATTTTGCTCAGCAATGTGTTTTTCAGGTACAACTTCTGTCATTATTTAGCACAAGTTGAAAGTTCTCTCCGTGAACCTTCCCTCCAGATCGAACTAAGGCTGATTCTCGGCAACTAGGAAGCTAAAGCTCCGGGATTCGTGCAGCCCCTGAAGCTTGAGAGTGAAAGACACTTTTTGGTTTGGCTGGGGTGTCACGGAAGAGAAGACAGACGGACTGCAGGAGCAGTTGATCTTTCAAAGACCAAATGAGACTTAATTTAAATCTCAACCACGGAATGAAGATAAAGTGAAGATTGTTAGCTTCCTCTGGAAACCAGCCGAGCCCCAAGAGAAACGCACGCGGCCAACGTACCCTTCATCCACCGTTGCTTTAATGATTTAAAAAGAAATTCTCGCTTTTACAAATAATGGTGTTCAACCTACAGAAGAGACTATGGGTTCAGCTCACGTCGCAGGGTGTGAAAAAGAGGCCCCCAATACTGACTTCTGGGAATCGTAAGTTGGCCGGCTTCTCCCATTCGCTAGTTCCTGAGGCCCTGAAACTGAGACTTGGATTCTTGACACGTGGCAGAGATACCACATTCTACCTGTCGCCTCATCCCTCCACCTCTTACTCGGCCCCACTTGCTTTCAAAGCGAAAACAAATGTTCAGCGGTATGAATCTGCGGCCACATGTATGCTCCTGAACGAACCAAGTGTGACATCCCTGGAACCCCTGGCCTGGGGGCGGCGAGCGGAGCCCGGGGCTTCCCTGTCCTCCGCGCGGCAGCCTGCGAGACCTTCAGCGGAAGCGGGTCACATTTAGCCCCGTCCGCTCTGGTGTGGTCAGCGACTGGGGCCTGGCCGAATCCGGGGACGGCCACCGCGCCAGCCAAAGAGTTTATCCGAAGATTCCAATCGTGCTTCTGAAAAAATCTTGCCAGAGCAAGTGAAAACGAAATGGTTAGAAAATGCACGTGACGTAAAAAGTCCTTAATAGAATTGCTCAAAACCCCTTCTATAAAAATAGCTTTTCCTCCGTTGAAAGCAGTGGAATAAAAAGGGAGGTATGTATCCCACCTTTTTAAAGCAGTTGCCTTCCGGAAGCACCACCTGCCACCTGGCTCCGGAGGGTCACCCCTCCCCCTGGAGGCCCTGACGGTGCGCGGCGCTGCGGGGAAGGCTCGGAGCCCGAGGGGGCCGCCGACGCACGGTTTCCCCTCCCGGCCTCCAGCCACCTTGGGCAGGTCCCGGCCGCACGCCGCCGCCGCCGCCGCCGCCGGCCTGACGTCGCGTCCCGGGTGACTTCCGGCAGCCGGAAGGAAAGCGGGGGTGGGAGGGCGGCCGGCCGGGCCGAGGGCCCGTCCCGCGCAGGCGCGCCCCGGTGTCCCGCTTGCTCGCTGCGTCCTCGCTTTCTCGCCCACGACGCGGCTCCGGGGACGCGGGCCTTGGGCAGCAAGGGCCTCAGGGCCGGCCCGGCTTGTCGCCGGGGCCGAGCAGAAGCCTGGCGCCCTGCTTGTCCATGCTGGAGTTGACGGCGTCGGCCTCCTTCTCCTGCTCGGGGACGCAGGTGCAGCCCACGGGCACGGTGACGTACTCCTCGGTGTACACCCAGCGGCCGCCGGCGCAGGCCGAGGTCCGCCGCAGGATGACGGTGGGCATGTACACCGGGGCGCTCCGGAATCGTAGGTCCTCCTCCCCGAAGAGCCCGGTCAGGCAGCCCCTGCACAGGCAGTAGGCCTCGGGCAGGTACTTGGGGTACCTGGCAGGGTCGTAGGAAATTCTGCAGGGAAGAGGGCGCGGGCTCAGTTCGTGCCCTGGGGCAACGGAACACACGACGCGCGGAGAGAGGGCAGCCTCCGAAAGATTTCGGCCTCGGGACCGGTAAGCCCGGGGACCACTGGTTACTGGGGCAGGAAGAAAGGTGGGGCCGGCAGTTAATGTGGCAGGCGGTTAGCGTGCACGCGAGACCCCGATCTAACAGGTCCACCGCGTGAGTCCGCCCGATGTCAAGCAGTGAAGACAGGGTTTATAGCTACTCTCAGGCCGTTCCTTGACAACGCTCTCAGAGTCTGCGCTAACATACGTAGAAAAGGAAAATGTATATATTCACGCTAATGCCTGAAATTCATCACCAAAGTTACAGCCTGGCAGAGGCAGCAGGCGGCTTGAGAGAGGCCGGGGGGCCGGTGAGCCAGTGGGGTGCTCACTGACAGGTGACCGGTACACCCACCAGAACCTGGAACAGCCTCTGTGTCTCTGGCCACAACTTCCAGCCCTGAGCTTTAGAGCAGTGGTCCCCGAGGCCCCAGATCTGCCTCCCCTCCGGCCACCTGGCTCTGCAGTCCCAGGTGGCCTGCCCACACTGGTCTCCGGGAAGGGGCCGTCTCTGCAAGGAGCAGACACTGGCCACCCGGGCTCTGACAGAGCCATGGGCCTTTGCTCCAGACACCTGTCCAGAAGGTCACAGGGTAGGCCCTGTGTCCGTCTGTCTGTCAGGGTCTGTGTGCCCTCCTCTGTTAAGGGGCCAAAGCCGCACTGGGGCGGGCAGCCTGGCCAGCCCGGAACATTGGGGGAATGAACGCCGGTTTACATGTGATCATTTCCATCCTCCGCCAAGGCTCCCTACTTTCTGGTCGGACGCCAAAAACCAACGTCAACACCTACAAAGCAGCCTGCTGCCACAACGCCAGAGGAGTCTAGGGCTTGGCGGAGTCAGATGGCTCCCTGGGAGGGAAAAAAAAAAAAAAAAAGCACCTTCAGACAGAACTCTACCCGCCCCCCGCCCATCATCCCCTTCAGTGAGCCAAGAGGCCATCTGGCCACTAGTGGGGACCCAGGGCCCCTCCCTAATGTCCCCTCACACAGGCGACTGCTATGACCCCAAATTCTCACTTCCATTAATCTCCCCATCGAAAACACGTACAGTCCTCTTCTGAATGTTTCTTCCTCTTCTGGAGCCGAGTCGTAGGGACCCTAAACTCTCAGAGTCAGAAGCCACGACTTCTAACCTCTCAAGCCACACGTTCGTAGCCCTACAACATGCCGAGCCCAGGAGGCCCCCCAGTGTGCCGTGCCAAAGGGGCCTATGATCTAAGCTTTTAAATCTTAAAGGGGCCTATGATCTTAAGCTTTTGAGGTGTGCCCAAAGGTTTTTACAGACAAGAACTCGAGGTGTATATGGTTTCTCATCCGGGTTTTGTTAACGCGTGCTCTGAGAGCGGAGTGTGGCTGCACAGGGAGGGACAGTGGCCCGAGCTGGCCCTCACCCTGCAGAGTTTGCACAGCTGTACGTCCTTCAGATGGAACCCCCTCTGGACTGGTTCTCCCATAGGTCCTCGCTGCTAATGACTAAAATTCATCCACAAAGTGAAGAAATTTCCGGTTAAGAAGTGTGTTTGGACCATCCAATTAAAGAACGGGGAGTAGGGGGCTTAGGAGAAGTGGGGGCGGGTGAGCGAGTAGTGGGATGTCCAAGAACAGAGCTGAGGGTTTCTTTCGGAAAGGAGCTAAAAGGTGGGCAGACGGACAGTGCTGGCTGTGAGTGGGGGCGTGGGGGGGTGGAAGCCTGAATGGACTTGAAGCACGGGAGTGCTGGGATCGTTAGACCGATTGGCCAAGAGGCTTCTCCATCGAGAAGCTCGTGTCGGTGAGGCAAGTGTTAACTCTCGGTCAGTGGCTGGATGAGGGTGGGTGGCTCCAGATGTGTCAGGAAAGGACATGGGTTTCTTTTTCTGTTTGGATCCAACGTCTTCGGACGTTAGTGGACTGAAGCGTGATTGGGTGGGGAAGAGCCTAGAAGCGGTCATCTTCACACAGCAGCAAGTTTACTCGCCGCCAGCTACGTGCCATTTACACAGTCCGAAGGAACTCGGGGAGCCGTGCATCCCGGAGCGCAGAGCGGTGGGTGAGCTGGACGGCACCCGCTGCACGTAGACAGAAAGGAGGCCAGGGCGCCCAGGAACCAGCAGGGTGCCACAGAGCAGGAGGGTGACCGTTACACCAGAGGACCCAGGCCCACCTGCCACTGGAGCCTGCCAAGAGGGACATCTCCAGGTACACGGCCACTGTTTGAATGTGGAGGATGAGGTCAGAGGAGAAGTCAGCAGTGACTCCAAGGCTCCCCTCTGGGGTGCCCAGAAGAATGGGAGCAGCATCGCGGGGAGCGAGGGGGCCTCAGACACAGGTGTCCCTGCTGGGGGCTTAGCGCTCGGTCACAGACCCCTTCCGCTTCCCTCTCGAACGACCCGGGCAGAGTCAGGGTGAGAGCTGATAAATCTGTTACACGCAAACGGGAGCAGGGCAGGGTGGGGCCGTCAGCACAATCGAGTGATCTCCGAGGCCCCGACACTGAAACTACACCGATCTTGTCTCTTCATCCTTCCCTCCAACGTGAACACAAAAATAGTAGCTGAAAAAGACTTTCTGAGCTTCTTATCGCTACTCTTTCCTGAGTTCTGCCATCAGGAGCTTTTGGAACGTGGTGAGCTCTCCCCTCGCGAGGACTGATGAAGCTGTCCACCGTAACGTTCCGGCCTTTTCAGCCTCCTCTGTGAAGCCTCATTCCCACCCCTCACTGGGGTACGCAGGTGAGCTATGGGGGTCCGTGTCGGGAAGAGTCCAAGCCCTTCGCCTTGCCTTCAGAGGCTTCCACCACGTGGTCCCCACACCTCTCCAGCCTTCGTGTCTCGTCCCTGGTGCGTCCCAGCCTTCGGTCATCCCCAAGCAGAGTGCCCCCTGCAAGTGCCTCAGCTAAGCGTTTGCTCGATGCCCTTGCCCCCAAACCAGTGTCGACTCAATGGAATCTTGCCATATTCAGGGTCCAATTCAGATCATTGAAAGTTTTCCAGGGGCGCCTGGGTGGCGCAGTCGGTTAAGCGTCCGACTTCAGCCAGGTCACGATCTCGCGGTCTGTGAGTTCGAGCCCCGCGTCGGGCTCTGGGCTGATGGCTCGGAGCCTGGAGCCTGTTTCCGACTCTGTGTCTCCCTCTCTCTCTCTGCCCCTCCCCTGTTCATGCTCTGTCTCTCTCTGTCCCAAAAATAAATAAACGTTGAAAAAAAAATTTTTTTTTTAAATAAAAAAATAAAAAAATAAAAGTTTTCCAATTCCCTTAGTCAGTTAACCTCTTTATGCCCCACATCCTCCTAACACTGGGTGCCCGTGAGATAGAGCTTCACTTTCTCTACGCCTTCCCCTGGGAGGGAGGAGTCGGGGCCGTATTTCTACTCATCCTTGTGGCCTAGCATGAGAATAAGAGTTCGGTGGCTGGTGAGCTGGTGACAGTGGGTCTGGACCACACAGCTTCCTGTCCTTCATACCCTGAAGTCCATATGAGACCGTAACTTAAAGTTCAAAGGAAAAGGAAATTGTAACGCCTCCAGTCACCTTCAGCATTCAGTCAACACCTGAGTGCCAGTGACGTTTCGGATAGTGAGGATGTAGGTGAAACACATATCTACTGTACGTCCGGGGAGACAAATGCACACACAGTTAGAGGGTGTATCCAGCCACGGCAGCGGGGGAGGCTTCCCAGCAAAGGTGGTTCCTGGGTGGATTCGTCCAGATGAAGAGAGGAGAAAGGGTAGTTAGGGCACGGGGCAGAGCGTACAGTGGAGGGACTAAGTCGGTGTTAGGAACCACGGCCTAGACGGGGAACTACAAGATGGGCTGGAGCCATCTGTGGAGCCTGGGTCATTAAGAGGCCTCCAGTTCACGGCCAAATTTGGATTGGACCCTGAAGGCAATGGGAAGGATGTTAAAAAGGTAAGTGATCCAATCAGATGGGATTTCAGACAGATCTTTCAGACTACAGGGTAGAAGATGGTCTGGATTCCTGGAGAGAGATACTGGCTGAAGGTGGAGATTTTTAAATCATTAGCATATAGTTAATGGTGGTTAAGTAAGATCATTCAGGGGAGTGTGTGGAGAGACCAAATGAAAGATAGGGAAAACCAAATTTTTTTTTTTTAATTTTTTTTTTCAACGTTTATTTATTTTTGGGACAGAGAGAGACAGAGCATGAACGGGGGAGGGGCAGAGAGAGAGGGAGACACAGAATCGGAAACAGGCTCCAGGCTCCGAGCCATCAGCCCAGAGCCCGACGCGGGGCTCGAACTCACGGACCGCGAGATCGTGACCTGGCTGAAGTCGGACGCTTAACCGACTGCGCCACCCAGGCGCCCCAAAACCAAATTTTTTTTAGTTGTAAAACTTTTTTTCAGTTTTTCAAAATTTTTTTACATTTATTTTTTTTAATTGATATCCAAGTTAGCGTATGGTGCAACAATGATTTCAGGAATAGATTCCTTAAGGCCCCTTACCCATTTAGCCCGTCCCCCCTCTCACAACCCTCTGTTTGTTCTCCATATTTAAGAGTCTCTTATGTTTTGTCCCCCTCCCTGTTTTTACATTGTTTTTGCTTCCCTTCCCTGTGTTGACCTGTGTCTTAAAGTCCTCATATGAGTGAAGTCATATGATATGTGTCTTTCTCTGACTAATTTCGCTTAGCATAATAGCCTCTAGTTCCATCCACATAGTTGCAAATGGCAAGATTTCATTCTTTTTGATTGCCGAGTAGGGGAAAGCCAGCTTTTAAGGGAGAAGACATCTCGTTGTCGAGATTGCCAGAATCAGGAGTGGCGTTCCCTGAGCCAAGGAAGGCGGATGCTGTAGAGGGGCTAGTCAAAAGCTGGAGTTGATTGGGCTGGTTTACTGGAAATACAGGGACAGAGGAACACGTTAAATGGCACCGTGAGGATATGACCAACAACATACAGAATGTGGGAAACTCAGCACATGTTTGTTCCAAGCGGGAAAGGGAGGAACCCAAAAGAGCATTGAGTAGGGTGACCTAAGCCCCGGGCATGGGGTGTCGCTGACCTGCTCTACACCTGCTGTCTCGGTGCAGTCGTGAGTCGAGCAGCCTTCTACGTGCAGTGTCTCCTTTTGGATG